CTCTTTTTATTTGCCACCCACCCCCACCCACCACTGCTCCATCCATTTTATCCCCCCTGGAATGCTCGGCAAATGGATGCCTCTCCCCCCCTCCTCCTCCTCTCCGTGGTGGATCCGCCCCACGGGTTGGTTGGGTGACCAGGCGTTGCTGCCGCGTTGCTTTGCGTCACAGTGCAAAGCAACGACGTCAACGCCGCCGCCGCCTCCGTTGTCGCTCAGTTGGCCTTGGCGCGCATCTGCGCACGTTTGCCCGTCACGGCCTGGAAGCCAGCCTTGATGCTGGCGACGGAGCAGCGCGAGTGGCACGTCTCACACTGCAGGAAGTAGAGGCGCGTGTCCTTCTGCAGCGTCGTGTCCGGAGAGCGGCACGTGTGGCACGTCACGTACTCCTCTGTCGGAGGGGCGGGGGGAGTTGAGGGGGTGGAGGACACGGATCACGAGAGAGGGGGGCGGAAGAACGAGACAAACGTGAGAGGGGTGGGGGACAATGAGGGAATGTCATCACATGGCGGCTGACGATTAAGCTGGCCTAACTTCTAACACGCCGTTTTTCTGGTCTCGGCAATGGCTTGCTGTCGACCCAACTTTTGCTCTTTTATGTCCCTCCTTGAGGGCATCAATCCACCTCTACTTATTGCTCCTGCCAATGTCAGTAATTTGCTAGAAGTGGTGGTGGTAGATAATGCCTGTTCTGCCACCCATATGTTCACCTTCCTGTGCGACCCTCCTCCCTTAGTATCGCTGTGTAAATTGAGTTTATACAACTGTAGTGACATCGTGGATGTCACTGGGTAATGCCGGCTCTAGCGAGGCACGGCGTGCGATGTATTGCCATCGGGGACACCCCGTACATGTGGGTGTAGTACCAGCCCGAGAGGGGGCTTGGTGAGCGCTGGGTCATAGCGCTCAGTGGCACAATGCGTGGCGTGCAGTGCCGACTGCTACAGGAGGGAGTGAGTGTCAGCCATGGGATGAGGTTACCCCAGGCCATGGCACTCTGGTTGACCCTGGAAGGTACGTGACAAGTAAGATCTACACATGGGCCCCAAGTGAGGGCTGGGGGTGGTCACGTGCCGGGGCGAGATGCTGCTCGAGGGTTCGAGGTGGTCATGGCCAAGGGCGGAGGCAGCCACGGCCAGCGAGTAGAAGAACCGGGTCCCCGAGAGGGACCGGGGTTCTGCGTTGCTGTTGTCATCTCAAGAGTTACGTTCTACGTCCAAGAAGAAGTCACCAACACGTGGACCTGGACCCAAGCTGGGGTCCGGTCCATTGTAGCTACTCCCAGTGTAATTAGTCTGGTGGTCCACCACCATAGGGTGTTATCTGGTAAAGGGGCAGTTACCCCTTTGCGTTAAGTGTGTTGGTATTAATAAATGTGTTGCCTCCAAAGAGAACATCTGCAACTCAGTTGAATCCACTACACAACCTATTGGCAGTGCTATAGATGTAGGCCTGTTCTCCTGTATGGATGTGAAAGCTGGACAATTACAAAAAAAACCCTACAGAGGAAACTGGAAGCAACATGTTTTTTGTTTAAGGAGGATGTTAAATATTTCACGGATAGATGAGATGAGTGACATACATGTTACTGATAGTGGGTAAAAAATACAAGCTATAAGAATAGTTATAAAAAGGCAAGTTATGTTTCTTGGACAGGTAATGAGAAAACAAGAGACTGAATATAATGTTTTGACTGGGGACATTCAAAGTACCACAGGAAGCCGGGGGAGACAGCGAATCATGATTCCCAAGAAATTTGAACAAATGGATGCAACTGGGAGGAGTATCTGATGCAACGTTCTGCAGGGAAGGCCATGATCGCCGACATCTATGAGAAAGGACATCACATAGCGTCAAAACGCCCGTCGGAGGTCGACTGATGCCATCATCACTTCGGGGCTGATAAAATAGGGTACCACTTTACCACAAGGCAGCAGTGGGAAGAGCACCGCGCCCTGCGGGGAGCCCGTCTAACCGCACCGCTCCCCCCTCCTCACAAACACACCAGCGCCACCAGACATGCTGCCCCGCTGCAGATTAAGCCGTGGGTGTATCTGCAGCGCGCAGCTATGCGCGGATGCTTTCGTGAAATTGGCGCGTCACCGCTGAAACACCCCGACAGACGCGGGGCGGCTCCGAGAGATAGCGCGAGCTGGGCTCCGGCACCGCGGGCTGTGCCAGAGACGTGAACTGGCGCCGCGATAATCGTGGGGTCGAGCCCCAGGCTGTGTGCGCGTGGTCCAGCTATTCTGCCAGGCCACTGCTGCCGGGTGGATTCTTCTCCCGGGTCCTCCGATTTTGCCCTCCACATTTAGAAACGTGCGTTTAGTTGATTTGGCTGTTACCATCAACTCCCAGGTGTGATGATGATAGAAGACACTACTCCCTGCCCTGGCCCTCCAGCTATGATGAAGCCTACCCCAAGCCCTATCACTACCCTGATCAAAACCACTATCACTACCCCACCCCTATTACTACCCCACCACCATCACAACCCCTACCCCAACCAATCCTTAACCACTCTCACCTATCCTCCTTACTGTCACCATAACTACACCACCACCTTTAGTAACCCCACTCTTTAATTTAACCACTACCATCTAATATACAATTTTATAATTATTGAAAAGCGCCTTGCCATAAGGCGCTATATAACCAATATAAGGTAAAAGATGTGTGGCCATGTTGCCTCTGAACAAGAGCTCATAGCTCAGTGGACTTTTTCGTTAAGCTAAAATAGTTTTATATCTGTAAAAAAGCACCAAAGGTGACGCAAGGGCGGGGAACAGAAACTCTGTGGACAACAGCCCAGGCTCGATGCTCCAAGAGCTTAAAAAAACAAGCGATAAACTATTTTATTTCATCAGGTAAGGCTCACTGAGCTGCTATACAGCTCTATTTCAGAAGCAACCTGGCCACAAATGATAGCCCAACGAAGTGACTTATCACGTGGACATTTATAGCAGCCAAATATTCTGAAGGCGTGTTGATTCTGGACCCGAAGAAAAATCCACACGACCACGGGGAGTGAGACACGCAAACTCCAAATATAGTGCAGGCGTCAGGGTCGGGATCGAACCCACGACCTTCTGTATACCAGGCGAGGTAGTTAACATCTCGCCACCATAGCACCCAAAGGGGGAGAGAATTGTGCTCTGCCTGACCCAAGTGGGGACTGTGAGCAGGAGCGTGAAGGTTTATATGGGGATAGAAGCATGAGGGCAAAGGCAACTAGCATGAAGGGTGGGTTCTAAAATAGTTGATGCTTCAGTCCACCGTTTGCCGTTGGAAGTCCTCTGCCTCTGTTGCCTTATAGAGTGAAGAGGGTGGCGGCAGCAATGGTACGGCCGTGCACCAAAAGCGCCACACGTTACTCACTGATGTATCTCCTCAGCACGCTCTCAATCTGCTTCTGCTGGAAACGCCCCTTGATGATGAGCTGGTTGTTGCCGTCTATGGAGCCGCTGCGGAAGGGAGAGACGAAAACGGTGAGTGGACGCGTTCCCCGCAGGCTCCACCCTCTGCTGCTTCAGCTACGCCTCTAAAGCCCAGCAAACTGTGCAGGAGGGGTCGGTGGATCACTCAAGAGATTGTCATTTGCTGGGCTACGAGGCGGCCAGGATACAAACAAGTGATAACTGCTGGGTGTTTTACCCAGGAAAGCCTCACTGAAGCAAAATATATTTGGAAGTTTGGATAATTTCATCAAGAGGTGTGTGACTCGTGGTGGAGTAGACCGAGAAAACCCACGTGCACGCCCCAAGGGGTGCCACCCGAACCGCCACCCACGTACCTGGTACCCAACTCGGAGAGCAGGAACAAGAGAAGATGCTTCGGTTGTCGATGTAAACTAGCGGGAAACAAAGGGGCACAGAGTCAACGCAAGGGACACGATGACGCACAAGCGAACGTCACGCACGGTGAGCGCGGGCCAAAAAAGCAGCATACACGAGGAGGGAGCAGTCTGCAGTACGACGATGGGTTTTGCTGCACTCCGACGTAACACCGCAGCGAAAAACAAAACAATCTGTCGACGCGGTTGGGTGGTCGCCCACTCCAAGTGCTAGCCGGGCTCCACCCTGCCAAGCGACCGACATCCGTCGCGATCAGTGGGCCGCGTCGGCGGGCGATTCAGTCACAGGCAGCGAGCGCGTTAAGCGGAGGGGACTCTCACTGCAGGATGGAGCCCCCCAGCCCACGATCTTCCCCGCCCCCCCTCACGCTCCATCCCCCTCAAGGCGACTCACAGCTTGCAGATCTCGGCGAAGTTGGCGAAGGACGACTTCTTGGTGCCGACGCGCACCACCTGCGGTGGCTTCATCACGAACTTGCGCTTCTCGCCGGCCATCATCTCCGGGTTCTTCTCCCGCATGATGTTAAACACCCGGCTCAGCAGCTGCGGGACCCCGACACACAGGGGCAGCGCGTTAGCGTGGCCCCGGGTTACGGGGGCGAGGAGCAAGGGATGGGATACGGGGTGAGGCTTCATCACGAGTCAGCCTGTGACAGGTTATTCACATCGGTTAAAGATGGGTAGGGGTAAAGGAGCGGCATTGCAATTGCTTGCTCACATCAGTGCTAGCACAAGGGTCTCCACCATAGAGGGTATATTGGCCTCATAATAAAGGTTTCATGGCTTAAATCGTGTAAATGTGAATGTGTCGGTAACCCACCACCACCACCACCTGACACAGACAATTCTAAAGGTTTGTCACGTAAACAAAACGTGCCAAATAGTTACTACTTGAGCACACCGGTGTGCTGGAGAGTGACATTGGCCTACGCCTCACACACTGAACAGTGCTGATGCTTTACCCCACCACCACGTGACCTGCCGGTGTACACGTTTGTACTGCCGGTAGGACAGAGGTGAGGTGGATAGAGGAAACTTGCACCGTAGTTTCATCTCGCTCCATCTCATTACCAGACGGCATTGGTTGCGTGAAATGGCAAGTGGGTTGAATGCAACCTCCCCGACGACTAGCTCTGGCATTGTTCCTCGTGATCAGAAATACAACTTATCATCAACTGGTTCATCAGTCGAACGAGATTCCATGTGTTGATCATCACGTCACGAGGAAGCACGCATGTTCGAGCGAGAAGAATTCAAAACTACAATTAAAAAAACACTTTCACCATGCACTCAAAAGAGTGTCTCTGCTCAAGCGAGCGTGTGAAAGAGTTCACCTCTGTTGGGTGCTCCTTAGCCAGGTGGTGAAAATTCCACATTCTTATGGTAGGTGCCAGTCTATCCATAGGACAACCAATGGCGCACTTGTGAACCACGGTCGTGAGGTGAAAGCCGGCTAGCCGGATTTCGCACTTCGCCAGATCGGGTGGGCTCATAACTAAAAAAAACACTTTGAAAATTTGAACCTAAAAGCTAAACATTGTACAAACAAAAAAAAAATCTATTGGAATATGGTATGTAATATATAACGAATCATTATATGCACTAATACATGACATCGTATGTATATTATGTAAATATGTATTGTATTCATTCTAGATTTGAAGCTTTCGTGACTGCAAAGATTCATATTCTTAGGTTTTTTTGGTAAAGTCAAGTAGGTAAAAATTCAAATTAATATAAGTAAAAAAATATATTGTGTTGTAGTTCAAGTGATACAAAATAACGTATGGCAATGTGGTGGTGGGCAATGGAGGCAAGGGCCAATGGGGGGGGGGATGGTGGAAGCTGTGTACCCTCAAACATAACGAGGACTGAACAGCGCACACCATCAGTACTTTGTTGTCTGTGAAAAGGCAAAGATCCCCTGGCAAAGACTGTTGGGGCAAGTGTTGTTAGCGAGCACCTATGAAGGCCGGCAAGGCACACGAGGGGGTGGATGGCCAGCACCACACCCGGCTACCTTTGTCTTCCTCGTGGCGATGTTTACACGCCGCACCAGGTACTCATTTTGAGGCTGAGTCAACCTAGGGAGGCCCCTAACCGGTTCAGATAATCGTTATTGGTGTTGACCACGAGCGGGAAATGAACCCGAGTCGCCGGGTTCGAAGTGCAGCATGCCAACCGCTGCACTACCGCGGTACAATAACACACACTAATGTCTGTAAATATACACATATAGTGGATAGAGCAATACATGTGTGTGTATAGATATAATACACATACAATGTGTAATGTGGTTTTTTACATAGATTGTATTTGAAAGCGTGGTTAGCTGGACCATTCAGCTAGCCGGGATTGTACTGTACATGTGCGTATAAAACCTCTTGTCAATCCACTGCTGGATGAAGGCCTCTCTGTTCACAAGGCATGTCCGTCAGCCTATTCTGTGTATTTAGAGTTTGCACCTTCTCCCTGTGGACGTGCGGATTTTTCTCCAGGTCCTCCAGTGTTTCCCTCCGCATGGGTTTAGAGTATTTGGCTGCTATACATTTCCACATAAGCGACTTCGTTGAGCGATCATTTGTGGCCAGGTCGCTTCTGATAAACAGCTATAGAGCTCAGCGTACCTTACCTGGTAAAATAAAAAAGTTTTTACTTTTTACTTGCCCCTACAGTCTGTGAGGCTACACGGGGGGACCTTTGTCTGTGTGCGGCTGTACCTCATCGTATGTGTAGTCCCGCTCCGAGCCAGCCCATGCCGGTCCCGACATGCCCATGGTGAACGACACACCGTCGTCATCCAACTTGTCATCGTCGCCTCCTGCAGGGGATGGAGAGGAGTGGCAGTCGGACATCAGCAGAGTGATCAGAGCAGGCACAGACAAGAGACACTAAACCAGTGGCTCGCCATCAAACAAAGGCGGTCACACCGCATCGCGTGCTTGCAGATGAACTTCTTCGGCCATCTGCAATGCTCTTCCTTCCGATCTTAGGAAGCCACTGGAGCTATGCACTTTTAAATCATCTAGATTAACAAACTAATTTCTTTAGAACTTATTTTTTTGTTTAGATTGTTGTCTTTACCCCGCATCTCCGATTACAACGGTTGTCTAAGTACGGTGCACGAAAGAAGTTCAACATATACATAGATACAAATGGGAAAATACAATTTTCCTGCAAAACTTACAATATACATAAGTAACGATAAAGTAGACAAAACCACTTTAAAATCTCAGTCAGGCGCCTACTTCATAGCCCTCGAGTGACATCACTGCTGTTGCACGAACACACAGGGGCGCAAACGTCACGATGAGGGCCTCATCATGCACCAAGCCGCTCGCTCGTGTCGCGCGGCTACAAGATAGGGGGGCTGTTCTATTCCTGAGCTGCGGCACATTCCCTTGGGGCCCTGCGCGCGCGTGGCGGCGGTGCTGAAGAGCGCGTACCGTCGAACATGTCGTCCCCGTTCTCCAAGTCCTCGATGATGCGCTTCTTGGGCTTCTTCTTCTTGTTGCCGAGCCCCAGGTCCAGGTCGCGCTCCAGGTCCCCGTCACTCTTGGGCTCCTCCTCTTCAGGTATCACCTCGTCCACCTCGGCCAGCAGGCCCTCCTCGCTCTGTCGGCATCAGAGGCGTAGGGAGGGGGACAAGGCGGAGCGAGGGGGTGCATTTAGAACGAGGGGGGCGGCACACGGAAGTAATGATAGGAAAGAGGATAAGGACGAGACGGGGGAAGCACAGAAGGAGGGGTGATAGATGGGAGGGGGTGAACGTGGGATGGGATGGACACATAGGAGGAAGCAGTGACGGGAGCGATGGGACGGAGTGATGAGTGGAAGCAGTGATTGTAGCGATGGGAGGGCGCGATGGGAGAGAGCGATGGGAGGGAGGTAGTGATTGTAGAGATGGGAGGGAAGCAGTGATTGTAGCGATGGGAGGGAGTGATACACATGTGCAAGAGACACAGGCATAAGAGATGATTCGCCTTTTTTTATAAAGCCACTTGTGGAAATTCCGCATTCTCATGGTGGGAGTGAAGTCTATCTGTATGTCCACTGTTAACTTCTCATTATTTTAATCCACCTTGTATGTATGATGGCGAGTGGTGGCACTGCGATTAAAACCACTGTCAATCCCAAAAACCTGGGCTCAATTCCTGGCCGTGTACAACACCAGTGGGGTGATACCTGAACCTGCCCTTGAGCGCCCCTGAGTTGACGCCATCTTAAATCAGCGTGTTGTGGGCATGCATAAACCTCAGCAAAGCCGGGAGGGGTACTGGCCACACCACCCTGTCGAGTGTTAGACTGACCTTACCAGTTTCTCATTGACAGCACTCTCATCTACAGTTTTTATGAGGCTAGATGGGGGCTGTTTTTCATTGTGTGTGTGCGTGTATATGTGTCTTTGTGCGTGCATGCTTGTGCAGGTGTGTGTCGGCGAGAGCACGTATCTATCCGTGCGCGCGTACGTACGGGCAGAGCAGCATCCACCTCCTGCAGGTCAAATGCCTTCTTTTTCTTTTTTTTCTTTTTCTGGCTGAGGTCAAAGTCATTGAAGACATCCATGAGCTCTGCAATAAAAATTAAAAGCACACGAGATGAAACAAAACGTGAATTGGCCACATTCAGCATTGCGATTGCGAGCGTGCAGACTTGTGCTTGAGTAACTGCTCAACAAGTTGACTCCTGACTTGATTGCTGCAAGATACGACCGTGTCCGTCCAGTGCTCGCTGAGCTGCATTGGCTTCCGGTTGCCGAACAAACGCATAAGGTCGTACCCGTTACACACAACGTGCCAGCCACAAATGAACCGCAATACCTTGCCGATCTCGTTAAGGAGCATAAACTATCACGCGAGCTCCTCTCAACCTTGCAGCGGCTTTTGACTGGCCATCAAACAAAGACGGTCACCGCATCGCATGCTTTGAGAAAAGCATTTGCAGCCGTCTGGAATGCTTCCTTCCGAATTTAGGAAGCCACTGGAGGTATGCACTTTCAAATCTCGATTGAAAATAGAACTGCTTTTTGTGTTAAGTTTGTCCTTCCCCCACACCTCTGATTAGCACGGTTGGCTACGTATGGTGCGAAATAAGTTCAACATGCATACGTTTAACTGCTGTAACTCACCTGCTTTAAACCAACAGTGCAGGGGCAGAGAGCACTTCTAACTTCTTTTGGTGGGCTACAGATTAACAAACGCCTTAGTGGTATCCAATAAGAGAGCGTCAAATACTGCACGTGCCAAACGAGTACAAAGCGGCCCTTGCAGTGAACGTAGAGATTGAGCACGGTCATAAAATTTGAAACACTGTTGCCAAGTCAACAATATTCCCCTCGAGCACTCGTTTAGTGCAGCTAAGATGCTCGTAGCGACGGAAACTCGTCATTTGCGGGCCGTTTTGAAAGTGGTAGGCTCATGTGGCCACGGGCTGTATCTGGCCACCCACGCTGTCGTGGAATAATAATAATGTGATTTATTTAAAGAGGAAAGATTCACAGGCTCACAAGGCCTTTTGAGGAATGGCCCTGCATTGGGAATGTTTGGTCAATTCCATGACAGTGTTAGGTGTCAGAGGGAACCAGAAAGAGCGGGGAAAACAAAAACCAAGAGAAAACCTTTGAGTGGCAATAACATTCAAGGATCTGCAAAGATGGGTTCGCAGACCTCTTTGTATATTGTTATCTCCTGGCCAACTCTCAGCCAAGAGGGTTCTCTTAGGAGCCTCAGAAAAAATCTGATGATCCAGAAACCCTTTTCTGCGAGAGTAGGATCACAGGCGCCGGCTTACACACGCAGCAAGCAAACGGCTCGCTCGGCGGGCTCACCATCAAACATTTCAGAGTGCAAATAATCCCGGTTGGGGTCAACATCTCTGCCGTGTACTAATTTGTAAGAAGTCAAAAGTGCTCCTCTTATGCAGGGGACTGGTCACCGCCATTATACGTGGGACATGTCCACCGCAGTCTCAGGGCCGCAAGGGCAAATGAACAGATGTTTTGTGAAAAAGAGGGAACAATATTTTGGAAGCTACACAGTTTCCTGTTGAAGCTGCGGGGTAACGTTGTGGCTGTGGGCTCATGCGAGGTTGCGTCTGGATGCCTCTTTGTGCAGTAGAAGTGTACTGCATGAGCCAGGGGTACACTATCGCGTCCTCGATGTCATTTGGCTGCCCTCCGTTTGTAATGAACACTGTACAACACCCATGAGTGCTGCGGTGGT